CTTCTCTTTAGAAGGATGAGAAGGACTGACACAGTAACTGGAGTAATAGTGGTGGATGTGTCAATGAGACTGGCTCAGGAACACGACAGGCTTCAGAGTTGTTGTATATAGGGTCACTATAAGTTGCAGGAGACTTAAAGGCACATAACAACAACAACAAGAGTTGATACCTTGGAATTTCAGTGTTAAAGAATATTGGAGGTATCATAGGCTACCAGAAGAATGAACAAATCTGTCTTGGGAAAAAATGCAGCCAGATGCTCTTTAGTGGTGAGATTTTGTGTCACATACTTTGAACATGTTATCAGAAAGGACTCGTGTCTGGTGAAGGGCACCATGCTTCATCAAGAGAAAAGAGGATGGCCCTCAATAAAATGGATTGATATGGTGACTGCAACAATGGCCTAAAAAATGGCAAGACTTTTGAGAATGGTGCAGAAACAGGTGGTCTTTTGTCCTATTGTACAAAGTGTCATTAGGAGTCAAAACTCAGCATCTAAGTACAACATGGTATGGAGTAACAATAAATATTTGAAAAAGTGTAAGCAATATAAAAAGGGACATTTGGGAGTATCTCACTTCTACCCTATCTTTGTCCATCCTGCTTCCCTCACCCCAACAGTCACCTTTATTGTCATTTATTTTCCAGTTTTCTTTGTGCAAATGCAAGTATACACATATACACAGTTATCTTTTTTCTTGTCTCTCATTTCTTGCACAAAAACTGCTGATGTACAAAAAAGTGCCTAATGTACAATGCTCTGTGGCCTCTATTTTTAAAAAAAATCTGTCTTCTTGAAATTCTTCCCTTATCAGTGCATAGTAATTCTTTGTGCCATGTTGTGTTCCATTGTGTGACTGAATCATAGCATATTCCTTTAGTCCCTTCAAAAAGGACACTTGAATTGTTTCCAAGCTTTTGTTATTTCAGATGAAAATATAGTGAGTAATAGTATACCTTTGTCATTTTATGTATATTCATATATAGGATAGTCTCAGAATTAAAATTATTATGTCAAAGGTTAAACAAATCTCTAACTTTAGCAGATACTGCTATATTCCATTCACAAAAGTTGTACCATTTCAAATTGCCACTGATCATGTATCAGAGGGTCCAAGCTTTTAGATTTTTTTTCCTAGTCTCTAAGATGAAAATTTGTATTTCCTCATAGCTTGAGTATGTTTTTCCTTATAATGAACTTCCATTTTAAGCATTATTTATCCCTTTGTGTAACCTTTTGGTAAAGAAAAATTAACATTATATTAAAAATTTCTAACTTTCCACCAGATGCTCTGCTGGGGAAGGAGGGACAATCTCCTCCTGTACCAGTCAGATCTGATTTGACGGTACACTCACACAAAAATAATAAAATAAAAATAAATTTTAAAAAATTCTAACTTTAGGTATAGTTAAAATATCATAACCTACAGCAATGCATCTTCTTAAGGTATTTACTACAGTGGGGTTCCTTCTGGGACATCATGTCTTGTCCTCCTTATTCTAAGGACTCAGTATCAAAACAAATTAATTTTCACTTAAGTAGGTCAGATGTTATTTAATAGCAGAAAATCACTTTTAAAATCACTTACATTCTCTCCAAATAAGCTATAGTAGCCTTTACTTAAGGAGCTCTGGTAGCCTAGTGGTAAGGAGTTGCACCGCTAACCCAGATGCACATGGTTCAAATCCATAGCTGCTCCATTGAAAGAAAACATGGGAAATCTCCTCCTGTGTGATTTACTACCTCTGAAAACCCACTGGAGGGTCAGCTTTGAGTCAGTTCCAACTTGATGCCACACGACAACAAGTGTTTATTCAAAACATGTTACACCTATCCTTACTTGTGGACTATCTCATTATCCAGCAATTCACAGTCCAGGTGGTAAAGTGATCTATCAAACTATTCCGTGCACTAGTGACATACATCTGGCAGTAATGAACATTGCAGCACAAGGTGAGAGTAACACAAAAGCATTGTTCAGCCCTGAGGATTAGGGTCAGTTTGGCTGGATCATGATTCTCACTGGTTCACCATTTCAATTATTTAATTTGGCAGTTATCAAATTATGTATTTTGTAAGTTACATAATGATATAGTCATCCTGTATTTTGTGATCTGATATGATCATCCGCCATCTTGCATATCTTTTCACATAGTAACCTGGTCTTTGTAACTTAATCATTTGGATAAATGAAGAGTTGGTGTACAGAGACCTGGAAATCATTTGAGAAGTGAACTTCCTTCCCCCTGGAAGATTTTGCTCTTCCCATTTGGTTGTATCTGCTTCTTTTCCTATACTTTATCACTTATAATCATTTTTTTCTTTGCTTGTTTCCTTTGATTTCTTTTTTCTATTGTGCTTTGAGTGAAAGTTTGCAGAGCAATTGGTTTTCCATTTTATGATTTATATAAATTTTGCCTTATGGCACTAATTACAGATTCTACATTGTGACAGCTCTCCTCCCACTTCCTTTCTATGATTCTATTTACATTTATCCCTGTATCTTATTCCCTCCTGTCTTCTGAGTTTTCTTTTTGGCCAAACCCTGGCCTTTTGATCTTCTATGGTTGATTGTTATTGTTTGACTGAAACTTCCTACCTCAGATATCTAGTTAGACCATACCCTTGGTAGTTTCACCAAGCCTCTATAGACCAGCTAGCATGGTCATTTTTATGATTTTGGATTTTGTTCCACATTTTTCTCCTGCTCTATCCAAGAGTGTCTGTTAGGATTCTTTTGGAGCAATTGACAGTGGAAGGAAGCACCATCAAGTTATTTTGGTCTCAGGGTACTGCAGATTGAAATTGATGGGATCCATTAATCTTAATTATTTTTTTAATTAATATTTTTATTGGGAAAAACATATTGGGGGTACAAGGAGGTGAGGGTTGAGGGCAGAAGGGTGAGGATGGGCCAGGACACAGTTGCAGAGCTGCACAGTTTGGTCGGTGGGGGGAGCAGGTGAAGGAAATGATGAGGGTCCAGTGGGGACCAGATGCTACAGAGGAATGACAAGCATTTTCCAATTGTAATTAAACCAACTGTCTTATTGATTTGGGAATTGGATGCCGACTCTCCGGCTTCTTCATGCTGAACAGGGGCGTAGATATAAAGGAGGGAAGGGAGGATGCTTTATCACCTTACTGGTGGTCTTGGGTTACAGCTGCTTGCCTTCTTGCTCCTGAGGGCCGCGACGGTTGGCCCCGAGC